AAGAAGAGACATCGAAGGCAGACGTTGGGAACGTAGAACTAGAAAAGGAGTTCACTGAGGACGAGGTTGAGGCGTGTGTAAAGAAGCTGAGATGCCACAAATCAGCAGGAGCGGATGGGATAGTCAACGAGTTCATGAAGTTTGGGGGGAAGGGGATGATCCAGCTGATGGTACTGCTATACAATTGGGTGTGGAAAAGGAGACAATAGTGACCCAGGGAACTACAGGGGGGGGTTGTGAACTTGTTTAAGAAAGGAGACAAGACTGACCCAGGAAACTACAGGGGGATCACACTGTTGAACACAGTAGGAAAAGTGTTCTGTAAGCTGCTGAACGATAGGATAGTGGGAGTATTGGAGAAGGAACATAGCATTAGTGAGGGCCAGGCAGGTTTCCGCAAGAAGAGGGGGTGCGTAGACCACGTGTTCACGGTAGGGAGAATCATCCAAGGTAGAAAGAGGGCGGGAAAGCCGACGTACTGCTTCTTCCTGGACGTGAAAAAGGCATACGACACCGTATGGAGAAGTGGGCTGTGGAAACAACTGTCCAAGTACGAACTGTCCAAGTACGGCATCAAGGGGGAAATGTGGAGAGTGCTGAAGGAAATGGCAGAGTGTACGAAAAGCACGGTCATGCTAGACGGGGCAATGTCAAAATTCTTGGACATTGAGCAGGGGGTCCCACGAGGTTGCACGCTGTCCCTNAACACAGTAGGAAAAGTGTTCTGGAAGCTGCTGAACGATAGGATAGTGGGAGTGTTAGAGAAGGAACATAGCATTAGTGAGGGCCAGGCAGGTTTCCGCAAGAAGAGGGGGTGCGTAGACCACGTGTTCACGGTAGGGAGAATCATCCAAGGTAGAAAGAGGGCGGGAAAGCCGACGTACTGCTTCTTCCTGGACGTGAAAAAGGCATACGACACCGTGTGGAGAAATGGGTTGTGGAAACAACTGTCCAAATACGGGATCAAGGGGAAAATGTGGAGAGTGCTGAAGAAGATGACAGAGTGTACGAAAAGCGCGGTCATGCTAGACGGAGAACTGTCTAAATTCTTCGACATTGAGCAGGGGGTCCCACAAGGTTGCACGCTGTCCCCAACATTGTTCCAGGTGTTCATCAACGATCTGTTGGAAGTCGTAGAGGCAGTCCGGAAGGGAGTAAAAGTAGGGGACACGGAAACGTCGGTTTCAGGAATGCTGTTTGCGGATGATTTTTTCAGTACATNGCTTCTTCCTGGACGTGAAAAAGGCATACGACACCGTATGGAGAAGTGGGCTGTGGAAACAACTGTCCAAGTACGAACTGTCCAAGTACGGCATCAAGGGGGAAATGTGGAGAGTGCTGAAGGAAATGGCAGAGTGTACGAAAAGCACGGTCATGCTAGACGGGGCAATGTCAAAATTCTTGGACATTGAGCAGGGGGTCCCACGAGGTTGCACGCTGTCCCTAACATTGTTCCAGGTGTTCGTCAACGATCTGTTGGAAGTCGTAGAGGCAGTCCGGAAGG